TCCACTTCTCGAGGTTTGAGACTCGGGATGTGTACTGTGTGTGTAGACAATGAAATACAAAATAATTTTGAGCAACAGTGGTCTCCAGTTGGGAATGTTTGTCACTGCTTGGAGAATGGGGATCGATCAGATGACTTTGAACGTTTTGAATCAACCCGCGTTTGGATGCTGCGCGCTTACCCACACGGGTAGGGCGCAATAAGCTGTTTGGCTCGTGTAGCCACTTAAGGAAGATTTCTCTGTGCTACCAGGGCACTTATTTAGATACACTTCAAGACCATGTCCGGTAGAAGGGGTGTGTAAAGATGATAAATTGATGTAAAGACCCTATTTTTCACTCTAGAATTGACTTTGTCCCCCTATTTTCCCCACTCTTTCAATTATCTTTTATAAAATTTAAATTTCCGAATTTTCGCGCCAAGAAAGACTCTTTCCGCACCACCGGCCATCCTGTCCCTTGGTTGGTTCGTTTTTTCTCTGATTTATCACTTTTGAGCTAATTAACAAGGTCACCGATGGCCGGTCCTCAATTGTATATAAACGGTTGAGCTGTCCAGTCACATCGCCTTTTTCGGGTCGAGCCCAATACACAACCTCGCCTGAAGGTCTGCCTTCCTCTTCTTTCCTGGTCGGGTTCCGGGGATAGTACGGGTCCGCGGGTCGCAACTATCGTTACCGTTGTTGGCCGTGTCATTTTTTTAGTACCGCGGTCGGGCACCTCGGGATCACTACTCCACGGGTCTACGCGTATCGCTGGTCGGGTCCGTACGTTGCAACAAATTTGGCGACGGGGTACTCGGTGAATGCCAGCAAAATGTCCAACCTCGACCCCGACATCAAGCCTACCCCCCGTCATTCGACCATTACGCCCGAACAATGACCGAGTTCGTCTACGATCCAGACGCTGGCGTCACCTTCAAATCCTGGTACAGCCGATGCGAGGACGTGTTCACAGTCGAATTGGCCAATCGCGGCGATGATGCTCGAGTTCCCTGCTTCTCCAGAAACTTGGTCCGGCAGAGCACACTCGCTATTGCAGCTTCATCCTTCCGGATGAACCCGGTTCTCGTGACTTTCCCTCCACCATTTATACTCTTGCCAAGATTTTTGGCGATTCTCTTTCTCTCTTCCATTCCGTTTCCAATGCCTACAGGTAACCAAGCGGGAGTCGGACGACTTCGTTCAGTACGCAGGCGTCCTGAATTGTGCTTGTGCCCGGTTCCAACTTGGCTCGCTGACCGAGGATCAATTCCGCTGCCTGGTCTTCATCTGCGGTCTCCAGGCCCCGTGCTACGCGGACCTCCGAAATCGCCTCCTGGCCATTATTGACCAGGACCCGACAATCCAACTATAACAAGTGGTCGATGAATGCCAACGCCTCGACAACCTGAAGCGCGGCTCGGCCCTCATCCAACTAGCCGACCGCAACCCCCGCGTGGTCAACGTAGTGTCTGCGCCGCAACGATCAACTGGCGATCGTTCCCAAACAAGCAGTTCGGTAGCCAACACCAAGCCACCATCTCCATGCCGTCATTGTGGGGCTTGGCATTTCCATGGACACTGTTCGTTCCTTCAGCACCGTTGCCGGCGGTGCCACACAGTTGGACACAAAGACGAGTTCTGCCAAAGGCGCCATAACAGCAACCGACCATATCTGCCAACGAAGAAGCCCAAACCGAACAAACCCAACCAAACACCTCAATCTTACGGTCTGATGGCCACCTTCAAGCTCAATCTCACTGAACATTGCAAGTTCGTCACACTCTCCATCAACGGACATCCGACACGTCTGCAACTTGATACGGCATCAGACATAACAATCATTTCGGAAGACACCTGGAGAGCACTGGGCTCCCCAACCTTCGAGTCCTCGTCGTTGTCTGCGACGAGCGCATGCGGCGGGTCATTGCAGTTAACCGGACAACTGCATTGCCGGGTGTCCTATCAACAAACAATAATCTACACCAGTTGTTACCTCAACCCGTCTGGCCTCAACCTGTTGAGTATCGATTTGATCGACCAGCTCGGACTGGCTGAGCTCCCCGTCAGCGCCATATGCCACTCCCTGCAATCACCTGCCGAATCCAACCAGCTCGCCAACCGCATCATCCATGACTTCCCTGCGGTCTTCGAGAAGGGCCTTGGCCACTGCATCCGAACGAAAGCCACGCTAACTCTGGTTGATGGGGCAAAACCTGTGTTCCGGACACGACGACTCGTCCCGTACGCCGCCCTGCCCCTGGTGGACGCTGAACTCAAACGACGCGAATCCCTTGGTATCCTGGCGCCCATTCCACACTCCGCGTGGGCCGCACCCATTGTGGTCGTGAAGAAGGCAAATGGTGAGCTTCGTATCTGCGCCGACTACTCGACTGGACTCAATACCGCCCTCAACCCAAACCACTATATGCTACCCGTCCCCGAAGACCTATTCACGGTACTCAAAGGCGGCACTTGTTCTGCGAAACTGGACTTGTCTGAAGCCTACTTCCAAATTGAAGTAGATCAAGAATGCCAACCACTCCTGACCAGCACCCACCGCGGCCTATTCAAATTTACCCGCTTACCGTTCGGTGTCAAGACCGCCCCGGCGATCTTCCAACAAATCGTGGACACAATGCTCCCTGGGTTACCTGGTACGGCCGCATATCTAGACGACATCAGCGCGGTCGGCACGTCTACCGAGGACCTACACTCTCGTCTTAAATCCGTCCTCCAACGCATCCAAGGCTAAGGATTTCGGCTGCGAGCGGAAAAATGCCAGTTCTTTCTCCTATTCATCAAGTACCTTGGGTTTATCTTCGATACATCCGGCAGGCGTCCAGACCCCGAAAACGTACGCGCCATTCAACGAATGCCGGCCCCAACTGATGTTTCCAGTCTTCGATCATTTCTGGACATNGGGCTGTCATCTCACATATCTTCCCCGATAAGACCGAACGCCCAATCGCCTACGCCTCCCGCACACTATCATCCGCCGAGGAAAACTACAAATAGAAAAAGAGGGCCTTGCAATCATCTTCGGTCTCAAGAAGTTTCACACATTCCTCTTTGGACGCCATTTCAAACTCCTTACAGACCACAAACCCCTCCTGTCAATATTTGGCGCCAAGAAGGGCATTCCGGTGCACTCCGCAAACCGTCTAATCCGATGGTTCACAACTCTCCTGGCCTACGACTTCGACATTCAATACCGCAGGACCAGTGATTTTGGCCAAGCCGACGGCCTCTCGCGTTTGATCGCCGACCAACACACCGACAAGGACGAATTCGTCATTTTCCTGGTGGCAGCCGAGGCTGGCGTGCAACGCATCCTCACTGACGCCATACGCCGCCTCCCCGTAACAGCCAACGTGATGCGGCAAGAGACGACAAAAGCCGCCACTCTTCAACGAGCTATTCGGTTCACAAAAACAAGGTGGCCCGCAACCTCCGCGACGGGAGACCTTCTACATCTCGCCCGCAGGCAATCCCCGCCCTCCATCGTCAACTCGTGCCTAATGCTCGGTGACCGTGTTTTCATACCCACATCACTCCGTCCAACGATTTTACGTCAGTTTCATTCGGAACACCCAGGTATCAGCCGCATGAAGACGATCACACGAAGCTACGCTTACTGGCCCGGCATGGACTCAGATATTGAACGTATTTTACGCAACTGCTCACGCTGCCAACAAGCGGCCAAACTGCCAGTCGCATCGACGTCATACCCTGGCCTGCACCACCACGGCCCTGGTCTCGCATCCACGTCGATTATGCCGGCCCGTTGAACGGCTCTCACTTCCTCATCATCGTTGACGCCTACTCCAAATGGCCCGAAGTCATCCCCGTTCCAGCAGCCACAGCAACTACTACGGTCAACGCCCTCCGCCGGCTGTTCGCTCAGCACAGTATGCCTGACCAGCTCATATCGGACAACGGAAGTCAACTTACCTCCGCAGTGTTCCGCGATTTCTGCGAGTCCTCAGCCATCACACACACTCGCCCCCATACCACCCACAATCCAATGGTCAAGTGGAGCGGTTTGTCGACACGTTCAAGCGTGCACTACTGAAATCGCGTAGGGAGAGGACAACGGAGTAATCCCTGCAACAATTCCTTCTAATGTACCAAAGCACTCCTAATCCGGCCACACCAGAAGGTCTCTCAACCGCTGAAACCCTTCTGGGAAGGAAACTACGGACACCCAACCAAGCAATGCTACCCCAACCATCGCGCACAACAGACTACACCATACCGACAGCTGACCTA